CCTCGTCTTGCCCACAGAGTTACCCATCTGGACTGTGGTGGATTCCTGGGGCGGGGGGGGGGGGCAGAGCTTGACCTCCCAGCCCCACCCCATGGAGAAATCCCTCCGGACTCAGACTGAAGTTTCCCGAGGGTCTTCACAGGACACACGCCAATGCCATGGGGCCAGGCTAGCAAATTGGCAGGGCTGTGATATCACCTTTGGCGTCACCTGGCCTTTTGGGAACCACCCACCCCTCCAGCTTGACTGGAATGCCATCTGGGAAGGATCATAGCAAATGCAGATCGCATTTTGGCAGTCCTATGACCAAGCCTTGAGAATTAGTGGGTGAGCAGACAGCCTGTTAAATTTCAGGAGCACCTGAAATTGCCATTCTGGTCAATTCACCATTTCTGCATCACAAAGGACTATTGTTAAAAACAGCGCAGTGGCTCTGATGGGAAAGCATGCAAGCAAAAGACAGCAACTGCTTTGCCCAAGAAGCACTCTAGTGTGTGGGTGGGAATGGGGCCATTGGGCCTGTACGGTAACATCGGTGTACAGATGCATTTGTGTGTGTTTAGCCTTGTGATGCATAATGCAATTGTAATACCATCTTTAGTTTATTTCTAATTTGCATTTAGAAGTGCATGTTGAGCAAACAGTACTGTTTCCCTAATACTAATTCAATCTGGCCGGGTGGGCTGCATTTGGAATATTCCTCCATGGGGAAAATGCAAATTAGATCTTAGGTAAAAGAATTCTATTATTTATTATTTCCTTAAAGCATTGAATACCCTGCTCTTCTGCTGGAATGGTTCACAGATTAATGAAATCAAGACATGTCCTGCCCTCTGGCTCACAATCTAAAAAGTCATGACACAGAAGGAAAACAGGATGGGGAGGGAAAAGGCAGACAAGGAAACGGAGGCACCAATTCTGAATGTTAAGCAGTTCTCACGATAACCAGCTGTATCGAAACTAGTCATAGATTTGCATGTTAAGGTGGCAGCCATCAGCCACAACCCCATCAGCAAACATGGCACTTTACAGAGGTTACAAGACAAATGCGACAGGTCCCTGTTTGCAAAGATCCTACAATCTAAGATAGATAAATGGAATTAACTGAAACATATTTGTGGGGACGTTCCAGGTCTGTAATCGTATAGCCACGTATGTGGAAACAAGCCCTCCTGAACTCAGTAGGTCTTAGTTTTATTACAACCTAAAGAACTGGAATAAACTAATGCAAACCTTACATAATGTTATTGTATCACAATCATCAACAGATAGAAAGTTTTTAAAGTACAAGCTCAACATTGCATTCCAGAGGTCAAATCTGACAGTGTTCTAAGAACTGCATGTGTGCACGATTTCATGTTTTGATGCTGGGGTGGCATTCTCCTGCAGTTGGTGCACATGGGCCGTCGCCCTTGGGTCTGTATATTTTAAGCATCCCTGCAAATCAGCTTGGAAGGTGAGATTGCCATATCCACAGAAGAACAGAACTTGAAAAGAATTAGGAGAGAAGATACATACTGTAAACAGGTTGTCATCAGGGTGTATAGTATTAATGTTTGTGATCAAAATAAACAAAAAAAAATTGTTGTTAGGCTAACTTTGAAGTCCTAAGTAATGTTCTGTAGGAAATATCCTACATAATTACCACAAAAGTAGTTATGCTCCCTTTTTACAAAAGCCTGATCCATGTACAGTTCTTCTCGCATTCTGCCACTTTCTTGCATAACAAAACCACAGTTATGCGGAAAGCAGGAGGGCACACCGGTTCTCAATGAATCTCATTAAGTCCAATGTGGCAAAAGACCGATGCTGGCTCCAACTTCCAGGGGACCCCTGGGCAAAGATACCCTCCCTTGGTTTGTTTTCTCACCAGAATTGTTACCAGCTTCTATTGCTCCTCATATTCTCTATCACTTTCTTTACCGACAGGCAGAAAAAGGCGAGTTCTTACCTGTATCTGTCATTCTTCCAGTGGTCCTCTGTGCATGCACACCTGTGAGCTCTTCACCTGCATGGAGCTTGTTACCGGGAAGATTTAGGAGCTAAGAATGTTTGGGCAGGAACCCCTTCCTTTTAAAACAAAGTGTTTGGCCATTATAAAAGCAGGGGGTTCCTGCCCTTTCCCACAGTGCAAGCAAGCCTGCCCAGGTGGCCTCAGGACCAGAGGAGGATCGGGAGGCAGTATTTCACATTTGGCCAAGTCAGAACAGCACAGAGAGAAAAAGTCAAGTCTGCCAGAGACTGGGCTGTGTGAATGCACAGATGACCACTCAGAGAACGACAGTTACAGGTAAGCAGCTTGCCCTCTTTCTTCGTGGCCTCTGTGCATCACACACGGGGCAACTAGCAAGCTGACTCCTTCCTGGATGGATGAAAGGGCTACTCTTCCAAAAGGGCAGTCTGCCCTGGCATGAACATCAAGCCAGGAGTGCTTCGCCTCTAGAAGGTAGCTAGTGCTGACCATGTCATGGCCTTTTCCTTCTGGTAAAGGAATCCTGGCGTACCACGCTGCCGAAGTCACTGTGGCTCAAGTCAAAAGTGCTTTTGGTCAAACTGGAAGCTGCTGTCTGGACAGTTAAGAAAATTGTCCACACGTTTAGGCTGTGTATCATTGTGGTGAAAGGGGCTGACCTTTAGGCTTGCCTCCACAACAAGCCAAAAAGGGTTTTGGCTTTTGCAGAAGGACTCAGTCCTGGAATGGTAGATTTGTGCTCTACACACATGCAAGGGTGTGTAGTGTAGACTCCAGCAGGCTAGACAGCGATGGAAAAGGGGCTGGTAAAACAATGTCCTGGTTTAAATAAAACGAGGAAAGGGAGGAAAGGTGGGTCTGGCTGCAACACCACCTTGTCCCGATGAAAAACAAGGTGCGGAGGATCAACCCGTAGGGCACAGAGTTCATTGGACCAATGAGTGGACGTCACAGCCACTAGAAATGCCACCTTGCAGGACAAAAGATGGAGGTCCACCATTGTCGTGGTCTCAAATGTTTTTCTTGTTACACTTGTAAGACTGCACATAAGCTTTAAGCTGGTGTTAGTGACTGAGTAGGTGGGAGAATGTTCTTTAGTCCCTTTGGGAAGTGCCTACTTAAGGTGTGTGAGAAATCTGATTGTGATGTGAGGGGAGGAAATGGCCACCAGGTGTCCTCAGATAGAAGCAGCTCTTAATCCATGTTGGAACAATATGACCAGGTAGAGCTGGCCTCGCTCAATCGTGCTTCAATGCGGGTCGGGTCCGTCTTTGTACGCAAAGAGACAGAAAGTTTTCCACTTCGCAGCATGTGATTTTCTGGTCGATGGTTTCAGCACGAGGTTCCATTTTGCCAGAATCAAAATGGTCTTGGCCACTAGGGTGTGATCATGACGCAGTCCCTTGCATCCCTCTGAACTTTTGGAAATGCTCTTGTTATCAAGACAAAAGGAAGAAAAGGGTAGAACACAGTCTCTGTCCAGCTCAGAGAAAAAGGGGGTTGTATAGTAGGGAAAGTGCTCAAGAATTAAAGCGGAAGGAAGGGCTTCCTGGACCCTGAAGAGGGGCGAAGATCTGAGGGAAAGGGCGGGCACTCCTCCCCTATATAACAGATGCCGGGGCAGGGGAGGGGCTCCTGCCTTAGCTACTAAACCTTCCTCGCAACAGGCTCCATACAGGTGTGGAGCACACAGGTGTGATGCATGGAGACCATGAAGAAGGGGCAAGGGCATCTGCTGTGATTCCTTCACCCTGCTGCTGCTGTCAGGACCAGAGCAAGCGGCTGATAAGCCAGCAAGCTGCCATGGTGGCCAAGCACCTCCAGAGGCTCTTGCTAGTGGCCCTTGCTGGAATGCGGGTCCTCGACAGGTGTCCAACCATGCCCACTCTTGCTGAGGCCCTGCAAAATTTCCAACTGCGTTGGAAGCCAATTTGCCTTGGGCCGCAATTCAAAATGCTGGTTTTGGCCTACAAAGCCCCAAGTGACCTAGCATCTTTCAGGTATCCTGGCTCAGGTTCTCATCATTCTCAGCCAGCACGACCAGTGGCCAGGAATCTGGCGAGTTTTAGGATTCCAAAAACTGCTAGAAGGCACCAGGCTGGGAGCACTAAGTAAGTGGAGGGCCACCTGCTCCTATGCAAACCTGCCTGATGTGCAAAATCTCACAAACCATGACTTGATTCTGGCTCGATTCTCGAGGTCTGCGTTCTTAAAGCAAGCTGTGACCTTGGGGGATCAGTCTCGTGGTACGGAGGAAACCTTTACACTACCCCATACTGGCTGAGCTCGTCACCATCAACGAAGACACTTTGGCAAAGCTCCTCTTGAAACTCCAGGGCTGCACCATGAGGAGAGGTCCTTCCATCATGCCTCCTTCTCCACCAGACCTCCAGGAGCAATGTTGGCAGGCTGGTGGCCCACAGTGTGCAAGCCATAAGGAATTAATCCACCTTTTCATCCAAGTTTCACAGATGAACAGCCATTTTCTAAACAGACCTGATAGCTTGCACCAAGCTGGTGTCCCCCAGACCCACTGGACTATTCGATTTTTAGGGTGCTTTGCAGTCATACGACCAAACAAGGCAGCACCACTGAGGATGGCTCGTTTTTATTCCTTACCTCCTCTCTTCCTTGTGGAGGAAAGCCCTTCTTTGATCTTGGGGGCCATGAGAGGCATTGGCGAAGTGACCGAGCACCATGGCATTCTCCATCTACAGCAGGGGCATGGCCCCTACTTCCTCCCTGGGAGGAGCAGGTCACAGAGAGGAGCAACTTACACCCTGTAAAAGGGTTTTGCCTTGGAGAAGAAAAAGAGAGGGGAAAATGAAAGGCAAACAGGAGCCACTAGCAAATTCCACTGACGGCACTTATTTCCTTTCCAGCTGCTGCAGAGTTTAGGTTAGTCTAGCTAGTGTAGCGGTGCTTTCCAGCTACATCGTGGACCTCTGGACTGCTCTCTGCTCTCCCTTTCCAAAGCCTGTAACATCACGCTCTGTACATAAAGCAAAGAAAGGACGATGCACGCCGCTAAAAGATACTCACTTGCAGTTTATTTTTCACCTGAAATTATTTCACATCTTTTTTCCTTTTTCGTTTTATACACGGCTACAGAACAGTAGTAATCCATCAGTAAAAGCAACAGTGTTAAGGATAAAATGTTGGCGTAAGGTTTATCTCCCTTTTTTCTTTTCTTTTTCCTTTTCTTCCCTCACTGATTTTATTAGACAGCTTGGGATATAAGGCAGAAAAAACAAAAACTATCACACTATATGAATTAAGACTTGAACCAACCATTTTTGTTAATGGGTGTGTGTGTTTATTTTTATATATATATATATTTATATATATATATATATATATATGGGAGAATCAAGAGATGGAGACTCAAAGTGTGAATAAGCTACCTATCAACAAAATTAAAAAAAAAAACCTAAGACAACTAGAACAGTAAAAGCTTTGCTTCCCATGGAGTACAATTAAATATATATATATTTATATATATATATATATATATTTATATATATGTATAAAAATTACATTGCCTGGATGTTAATCTCAAGGTGCAAAAAGAACTGAATAAACTTGAAAAGTAAAACAAAGAAAAAGTTTTGCTTTTTTATTTATATAAAAAAAGAAATTGCTCCATTCAAAGATTGCTATTCTTCGGAGGGTGGAATCCAAAACCATATTTATAAAAGAAAACACATTTAGGAGAGACAGGGAAGTAATCGTAGGAGGATAAGAAAACACATAGTGGTTATATCTTCAGGTTGGTACATAGAAACCCGTCAGATCAAAGAGGGCGTATCTCCATCTTTTGAACTGAAGTGACCTGTGTAAGAGGCAAGCAGCCCAGGTGCCAGAATGACGGGAAAGGATCTGTGGAAAGAAAGTGTCTATCTGGGAGGAAGGACTTTCCCTTGAAATATTGGACATAAGCAGAAACCAAACAATACCAAGAGATACCCTGGCAAGTCTGACACAGATGCTTGATGGCTCAACTTAAGTTTTATGCAAAACTCAAGTTCTTCTGGCTACCCTTTTCCGGAAATGAGTAAGAGCATCTTACCACCCGAAACATCTTAACCCTGACACAGTTTTAAAGTAGGACTTGGGTCATTCCCTGACTATTCGCAAATGCCCACCCATCTTTTCACTTTTGTATCTGTAATATAAATATATTTATATGCCTATTTTCCATTGTCTGAACAAAACGCGAGGCAGTTACAAATCAGAAATGCAGTGAGCTGACGGCTGTGACAGACACAATGCAATACGGGAGAGCATTGCTAAAATGTCATTATTTAAAAAAGGTTTTCCTTGGTTATTTAAACACAAAGAACAGCAAGATGGCAAACTAGCTCATACAGTACTAGACGCGAAACAAATGAAAACAAACAAAAAAGATAAAAGAATTAACAATTCATAAATAAGAGACAGGTCCCAGACCTGTTATTTGTGAACCATTTCTTAAATAGGTGCATTATGTAAATTGTATGTACAACAAAATTACTTTGTATAATGATCATAAGTACAGAGCAAGAGGTGAAAATCTTTTTCTTCTCTTGATTTCTCATACTTACTTTCTTTTTTTTAATAGCAGGAAAGATGGAAAAGCACCTTGAGGGTGAGATCCATTCATGGAAAAATATGAAAAACTGATATATATTCTGGTGTATTCTTTTCTTCCCAAATGGCATGTAGAAACCGCGCACACGCACATAAAAAGCAAACGAAAATCCAGATGGGCACCGCCTCTTTCCCTAACCTGTTTGCAGCCACACTGTCTTGCTTCCCCACCCCCATTAATTTAGACAATATTGAATTTCATCGTACAAAACTGAAAGAATTTGGCCAGGGTTTGGGCATGTGCTGTTCCCTCCCACACACAAAACCGCACTCGCTACCTCACAAACACAGCTCTTAAAAGCAAACTCCTCAGAACTTGCTGCTCTCTATACACAGAAGCCAAAAGTTTAGTTCTCTGCCTTTTTATGGTTTCCGAAATACTTCTCCTTTTTGTCAAAAACTAAAAATTCAGCAGAAGAGGTTTCACCAGGCTTCGGTGTAGCGAACATCCACTTCCTTCAAATTGGGCAATTTTGCCTGGAGAAAAAGAAAACCGGGAAGGGAGAGAGAAGGGCATCATGATTAAACAAAATCCACCAGGATCCTGCTTCTGATACCAGTGTGAAATCTTGGGCAAAAGTATTTTCTAGCCCAATCAGCTACTTTTAATAGGAGTTTACCAGGGAGTTTGAATGGGAGTTTATAATCTTGTGCGTGTGAAGCTGCAGTTTACCACTAATCTGCAGTTCCTCCCTTTTAGCCTGCCATCTTTTCCACGCTTTCCCAGTTTTTCACAGATTGACCCAATTTATTTATTTTATTTTATTTAGAATATTTATATGCCGTCCTGTCGTGAAGGCCTCATACATACGTATTCAACCCAGAATATGGATTAATTACGCATTACCCCTGAATCATGGTTTGTCACTGGGCTGTCGGTCTGTGCCGACCCTTCCCTTTGATCTGACTAAGGATTGTTAACCACAAACAATCCAGGAAGAGAGCTCATGGTTTGTTGTTGGGCTGTTCCAGATTGCTTGTAGCTAACAACCCATAGTTAACCCAAAGTGCAGGGTTCATACATTAATAACAACTCACAATTCAACAGCAGCAGCCAAAAAGCCTCACAGTTCAAGGCGCCACACAATTTAATATCAACCCCTGTTCAAGCCACACTCTGGCTTGCCACTGCGTGCGAGCCAGGCCACTGCACCTGGTGCGACAGCCTCCGATTCCCTCCTTTTGCTGCTATGCCAGGCCTGCGTCTGGGTGGAATGGACTCCTTCTCTGGGCACCACAGGGAGATCCCCCAAATCAGGAGGAGGTGGGACAATGAACCACTGCAGTTATTCCGAGTGTGCAACGCCCAGGTATTGTGTCTGAGAAAGGGATTCCGCCCGCCTGGGAAGCGCTCACACACTACAGGTGATTCTGACAGTGCCCAGGCGCTGCCATGCATGGAGGAGTTTCACAGGCAATCGTCTTTATGCAGAGAAGGCCCCTTCACACAACCCTGGTGAAGGCTGCTGGTGTACGTGGTGAAGGAAGCAGGTGGAGCACCACCCCATCCTCCCTCTTCTGAACTCCCTCACAGATTCCAACTGCTCTCCCGATCGCAGCATCCCCTACTCAGGAAAGAACTGCAGAAAGCAGTGGCAGGATAAGAGGAGAGGGAATGCCGAGTGCTGGGAAGGAGACACCGGGCTGCGGATCGCTTTGGATGTGCAAAGGGAATGTGGTGCTGTCAGGCAGAGGTGGGGAGTCTCTGGCTGCGCTGGCTGAGCTGGGATCGGGCCACGTTTGGCAGCCTGCATGGCAGTGGTAAAGGGATGAACTGCTGCTGGCTTCCTGCAGGCTTGAGGAGATCGTCTGTCACAGGCAGAGTGTTGTGCCTGACGGCTCGACAGAGATGTCGACTCGCGAGAAAGAGTCAGACGTTCACAGTGAGACTCAGGCGTTGGGACAAGGGGACTTGTACTTGGGGCCCAGTGCCCAAACGGCCCCTCTGCAGCCTGACTCTGGGACTGCTGAGCAAATAGCCTCCCCACAGCCTGACTCTTTGCCTTCTGAGCAAATAGCCTCCCCACAGCCTGACTTTAAGGCTTCTGAACAAGTAGCTTTTCCCCTCATCCTGACTTGTTCAAGCATCCTGAGGTGCTTGAACAAGTTGCCCCCCCCCCGCCTCCTGACTCTGAAGCTGCTGGGCAGAGTTCAGGAGAGCAGTAAACCTGGCAAACGCCCAACGTAGGCGGAGTTTAAGGCGTCCAGATCAGTTGCGTCTGGACCAACTGAGACGACAGGACAGAGGTTTGTCCCACCCACGAGCGGAAAGACGTGACAGGAAAATCTAATCCCACGTGGGCTTCTCAGATACTTCGGAAAGGAGGGGGCAACTGTGTTGCTAGGAGCTCTCGGCTAGAGCTTATCTGTTGCATCCTAAAACTTGTAGAAAGTAGCAATAAAAGTCTTAGTTTTATGGCCCACTGCTGTGTGAGTTAATAGGAGACGTGAGTTACAGCCTCACGGCACAGAGGAATTTTGCAATGGCTGCCTTTGTGGGAATACCAGTGTGTGCACAAAGAAGAATCCTGTTTGTGTCGTCAGAATGTGGTCACATAAAAGTACCTTTTCATAACTGCGCCATAAGGAGGAAACAGCTCAGTACTGGAGCGCACTTCTTCCATACGGAAGGTTACAGTTTCAGACCCTGAAGAGCACCATCCTGCCACACAGTCAGTGCCTAGGTTCAGACAACACAATAACCCGCACTCAAGGGTTGGCTGTCGCTGAAACGCGGGTTCTCGTGTTGCCTCAACCTCGCCGCACTAACAAAACCTCGCTTGTTATTCATGAAAGACCCATGGAAAGAACCGTGGTTTGTTCATTTCGTCTGAATCTGGACAACATGGTAACCCACATTTGAATAACAACCCACGGTTTAATGGCAATCCGTACTGAGCTTCTGAGCATCGCTGATTAAATTATCTGAATTCACTCCAGTGTTTCATGATGTTTCTATTATCTGGGTGAGTCACAGCTGCTGTGACCAAAGCATGCGACAGCACGATAAAGTGGCACATCTCAAAACATTTAGGAGCTTAAAACTACAGCATAAAACCAGAGTAGAAGATCAGCAGCTGTGCAACAACCTAAAAATGCGACAGTGGATTTTAAAGCAAAGAAAAACAAAAACTGGAGGACTAAAAAGCACGGGAGAAGAAGAAGGTCCTAGCCTGAAGCTGGACCAGCCACAACAGGGGTTCCAGGGGAAAGCATTCCTCCACCTGAGTGCCAGGACCGAATTCCCAGAGTGGGCATGCGGCTCACTCCGTCTGTGTGGAAGGCTCTAAGGAGTGTCTCTGAAGGTGGTCTCTGGATCCAGACAGGTGTAACCTGATATGAGGGCCCTTCTTCTGTACGTTTCTTTAGGTTCCATTTCTGAACAGCTTCGGAGGTGCTGCAACTTGGTCTCAACCTACATCTTTAATTAGGTGGGGCCTGGGCCCTTTACAGGACCACCCAGTGGCAGAACGGCTATTCTGGAATTCTGCAACATCCGTGGCGGAGCTAAGATGCTGCTTCTAGCTTATGCATATCACCTTGCTCCAAAAACATTCTAGATTGGCCGAAAGCTTTAATCTGCATGACGTACCTTAAGATCTTCATAGGTGTCCGCTGAAAGCTTGGTGCTGTTCATATTTAAACTACACAGGCTTTTCATGGCTAGGAAACAGAGCACATAATACGTTATGCACACATGAAACCTACATATCCGAACATAGATTGACAGTGACAGGGGCACCTGCATCTTCTGGCCTTGCCATCATGTTTAGCTACATACCCACCCTGCCAAGCTCCAACACTGTGAACTGGGCTTTGGGAAGTCACTCTAGCAATATTTGGTTAACGGACATGAGAGCTGGAAACTTGAAACAAGTTATTTAGAAGATGATAAAAAAAATCCCAAAGTAGAATAGCACTTCAAATATAAGGCATGGCATGGTGTATATAGGACCCAACTGCATATTTTTCCTGGGTTTTGGTAAGGAGGGATAAGGAGGGGGAGAACTACTCAAAAAGTCCATAGCCGGACAAGAGCTGGCACCAGGCTAAAGGGGCCAACAGCCTGCCGGGCGCTGTGGGTTCATGAGGTACAACACTTCTTGGCCAAACGAAAGCATGGGGTGGCTAAGCGCATCAGGAACCAGGCAAAACCTTTGCTGGAGTCAGCTCTTTAATAACACTTTAAAATGTATACAGAATCCACCCCACCTTCTTCCCACTCCTCTCTGTCTCCTTGCTCTCACTCGTTTTTCTTCTTGCAAAGGGAGCGAGTGCACGCACAGCCCCATGGACCTTCTTGACGGGGGGAGAGTCTCACATATTACCCCCCAACACACTGTATGCACTTGCATTAAAATATAACATGCATCACATCCTATTTTTATGTTGTGTGTGCGCACACCCAAGTACATCCCTCTCAACTTCACACATTGCAGTTTGTTTCTGTATCTTTAAAGGGTGTCTGTGTGTGGCTTCCTACACATTTAAACCCATAAAATAAAATGCATAAACAAACTGCAGCTACATCCTGAATTACAGGCTGTGCATTGAGCCAGGTTGGTTGAGTTCCAGGGTCCTTTCCATATTACCTTGAATATGAACCATTCTCTGGATTCTGCGTTTCTATGGGAAGGGAGCAGTTTTCATTTGGTAGAGCTTTCCTGTGAATCCCTTCTTACAGTGGTACCACCCAGTCCCTAGTCTGCAAGGATTCTGGTCCTAATGCAAGCTCACTCAGGTACGCAAGGCAGGAACTCACACACTACCCTCAGCTCCACTAGATACCTTTGCTGCCTTCGCAGGAGAACGAGGCCCAAGTCTGTCAGATGCAGAAAGTTCCCAAGACTTATTACATGCTTTGAGATTGGCCTTCATCATAGCATCTTTATAAAATCTGCCTCAACTGCATTTTAGAGCAACCAGGAGCCTCAAAGTAAACCTTATGCCTAACTCAGCAATGTGATTTTGACATCCTATTCTTTCCAAACTTCTGTGTTTGGAATGCTGTTCTGCCATTCTATTTTTCTAATGGACACCAGGGCAGTGAAGCTGGAAAACTTTCCAGCAGATAAAGGTAGTTTTAATAAATTGTGTTATTTATCACAAATGTACAGCCATTTCCTAAACAGGTCTGGGGGTGGCTTTCCTAAATTTGGTGGCCTTGTTGCTCAATCTATTATTTGTGTTAGGGTAGTTAGTAATCCTAAGACTAAATAAGAACAATAATAGAAGAACAACGACCTGGAGCATGTTTTAAAGTACTAAAAACACTGAAGCCATGAAGAACTTTAATAATCAAGCAACAGATTAAACATTAAATGCTTTCTAAAAAAAAAAAAAGATGGTCTTAACCCAACATCTAAATGGATGTGATCAAGATGCCAGGAAGCGATGATCCCATCTTGCTGATGGTTACAGGAGTGATGCAGCAGCTGGAGTGGAATGGCTGGCTGCAGACCACACGTTTTTCTCTGGGTTACGTTCTGGGGAACAGCTAGCCTTCCAACAGATTCCCACTGCAGCACGCGCAAGTCAGAGAACCATCAAATAGGAGATTGGAGCGGACCCATGAGGCCACCAAAGCCAACCCTGGCTCACTGCAGGCCTCCATGCCAAGGCACCCGGACAGACGGAGTGTCTCAGCAGAGTGCCAGCCCTTTACAGAGATGGCCAAGCGGCCCTAAAACCGTCATCATTCATTCCTGCCTGCTTTTCCGTGTCTTGGTTCACTTACAGCTCAGTGCCAGCAGCCCGGCATCAGTTACAGGTGTTTCGCACAGGTTGAGCACTTGGAGCATTGTGAGGTGTTCCGAGAGAAGCCGCAAACCTGCATCTCCGAACTGTGCAGGACAGAAAAGACAGAAGCAGGGTGAGGGTTTGGGACAGGACTAACTGGAAGACAGGACTGGAGTTCATGGAATTCTCTCTCGGAATCCTGAAATTTGCATCCACACAGTGATGTTTGTTGGCAGCAGGTTCAAGGCAGAGAGAAGAAGGGATAAGTAACCCAGACTGCAGGATGCAGCAGTGTGGATCCAGGAGAAACTCATGGAGGACAGGCCTCATCAGTGGCTGTCAGCCACTGGGGGCGAGAATGGGGGAAGGCCTTCACACCCACGTGGAGACTGCAAGGTGGCACGTGGGAGGCACTGCACACACGAGCCACGGGGCCCAAATGGGCATGTTTGGCCCTCCTGCAAAACATGGTGTGTCATGAAACCCAACAGGGCTTGCTGCCCCGAGAACACCATCCCCACCATGAAGCACAGTGATGGTGAGGCTGCTTTGTCTCCACGGGGGCTGGGAAACTGGTCAGGGTTGAGGGCAAGATGGATGGAGCCCAACATAGAGCAGCTCTAGAAGAAAACTTGTGCCAGTCTGCAGGGAAACTTGGATTACGCTGGAGCTTTCCCATCCAGCAGAACATAGAAACAGAGTGAGGCAGAAGGGGCCTCCCGGGCCATCTAGTCCGACCTCCGGCACCAGCCGGCTCCGCTCACATCATGCCCACCATGTGGATGTCCAGCCTGTCCTTGAACACCCGCACCAATGGGGCCTCCACCACCTCCCGTGGAAGCCCATTCCACACCCTTGGGGTCCTGACTGTCAGGAAGTGCTTCCTGGCATCTAAATGGAACCTTGGCTCCCTGAGCTTTGCTCCGTTGGAGCGCATCCTGCCTTCCTCTGCAGGGGAGAACAGGTCTCTGCCCAAACACACAGTCAAGGAAACACTGGAGAGGCTTCGAAGCAGGACCACTAAAACCTTGTATCTCAAGCCACCTGGGAGTATTGGCAAGACCTGAAAGGTGATGCTCACCAACAGTCCTGCTCCAACCTGATGGAGCTGCAGCAGTTTTGCCAGCAGGAACAGGCAAAAACGGCAGGACCGTCTTCCCCAAGAGGACCCGTGGTTGTCCTCGCTGCCAAAGCGGCTTTGACCAAGCGCCGAGTCAGGGGGTGGCGCTTACGCAAGCAGTCAGCTCGGTTTGCTGCCGCTTGCTGAGCTTTCACGCCACGGTACAAAGATGTTGCACCTAGCCAGGGTTCAGGATGATGTGTACATCAAGTGGGAATATTGCCAATTAGATCCATTTCAATTTAATGGTACGATACAACCAAGTGAGGAGAAGTCCGAGGGGTCGGACACTTCTGAGAGGCACTGGAGTTGTTAGAGTCTTGGACTCGGGAGACTTGGGTTCAGGTTCCCGCTCAGCCATGAAGTCCACTGGCTGACTTCGGGGCAGTTAGTGACGTTCGCCCTAACACACCTCACAGGTTTGTTGTGAGGACACAATGGAGAGGAGGATGTCCATGAAAACTGCTTTGTGCTCCTCACAAAAGGCAAAAAAGCCAGGATATAAACACATGTGGTGCACAGAATGTATATACCGTTGGGCTGTTTTTACCGCTGTTAGCTGCTTAGAGAGCCCTTAGAGCAGCCTATAAATTTGAAAATAAATAAAATAACCAAACAGGAGTAGCAGCTTTCTTGCAGCTGGGCTCCCACGTTTAGTTTTAAAAATGGAAAAGGTGAGTTTTGAGGTAGGAAGGGTTCCTCCCTCTTCCACATGCATTTTTGCCAGTCCACACTGCCAATCCAGCCACTTCAGATGAGTTTTCACTTGCTGCGCCTGTTGCTGCTTGCAGAGTTCATACCTGAGTCGACCACAGGTTCAGCTGCTTCAGCGAAGGCAGTTTGATGAGATGCTCTGCACAGGCACTCGTGACATTGGTGAAGGCCAGGCTGAGGTTCTCCAGGTTGCCAAAGGAGCCTGAGCTTAGCAACCGGGCCAGGTCTGCATCCTGCGGGGCAGAAGGTTGCATGGATCAGAGGCAAGAGATGCCTGCAATCCCGCCAGCAACATCCGAAGCCTAGCACTTGTGACACCTGGCACAGTTCCTCTTGGGCCCATCTCAGATCTACCCCTGAGTTCTAATGAGCCATGCCTATATTCACAATCAGAATGGGATCGTTAAACACACGTGCTGCAATTAAGTTTGGCGGGCACAATTTTCCGATGTATCTTGATGCCACTGTTTTGCTTTTCATGTAATGAGACAACAGCATGCAAGAAAGGGGAAACAAATTACTTATTTAATGAATTAATTTACTCGTACATTTACACTCAGCTTTTATGACCTGCTGTTCTACAAACACTACTCAGAGCAGTGCTCTCAGCCTAAGGCAAATAAAATTTAAAGAGCAAGTAAAAAGAGCACAGCCCTGCAGAATGGGGAGAAGCTCTGACGTCCATGAAGACAGGTAGTCCTGCCTACCCATTTAAAACTTTTCAACACAGGGACAAGAATTAGAATGCTGCAAACTTTTTTTAACACTCTGACCTGGTTCAGATGACAAGGCAAACTCTCCATGGAGTGTTGTCATGGGTTGTCGTGTCATGCCCACACAGTCCAGCTTAACCAGGGTGGGTACCCTGCCACCCCCCCCCAAACAATTCACCTTAAGGAATCATGGGTTGTGCTAGGGTTGTTGTCACCCATGCTGGGTTGTCTGAACTCACCATGGGCGAGCCACATTAGCTAGCAGCCACTTGGGCACGAGAGGCGGAATTCCCGTTGCACTTGGCAAGCAGCTGTTGTGTTGGGCTTGAGCAGAAAGATGCCTTCTGGCATTGCTATTCGCTGCTCCTGCAGCACAGCAGAGCGTCTGCCCAGAAGCACCTTGGGGACCGTTTCCAGTCTCAGCCGGAGCATCACGCAGGGCGGAGGGAGGAGCAACGTCGTCCCCTGCTTTCCCCTCGTCCCGCTCAGGCTGCGAATGAGGAGGGCAGCTCTGCAGAGGGGCTCCAGCAACTCTGGAATCTCCACCTGAATGCCCCACACTGCCTTTGATGAAGTGCCAGTCCAAGGCCTCGTGGGAATTTGCGTGGCAGTCCTCAGCCGCAGCTGCCATTTACATTTCCCATAATGCTCCAGAGCAAGGCCGTGCTGGGAGCACGATGGGAAACTTGGACAGTGCGTTCAGGGCCTGTGGCCTCAGCAGGGGGTTGCAGGCGCTCCATGCAGACACCAGGCCTGTGTCACACATTCCCTTTCAGAAAGGCTCCTAGCAACCCTGCGAGGTAGGCCGGCAGAGCACCAAGTGAGCACACTGTCAGGGTAAAATTGCAAGCGACCAGGAGAATTCACATGCTACACCAGAGCGGGGCTGAAGTCAAATCACATTCAACCCACTACTCAGACAGATCTGCTCAGGAGCTCACTGAGCTCCAGTAACGAGTTGGAGGAGGAGAATTCCTCCCCTCCCCACACGCTCACAGTATAATTGCAATGAAAGGGAAAGAAGAGAAAGAGGATAACTCACGGTGGATTTTGACGGCAGTGTTAACCTGGTGGGCCCTCCTTTCCTTTGCTGCAAAAGAACAGATGGCGTGAAGACAAGCACAGGGACTCTACTGCAGTGGCAGGCAGCAAAAACCGGCTGATGCTGCAGGATCCGGACACGCAAGATTAATCAGAAGACCTGCCCCGTGCCTGCACCCAAAGGCCCGGCGAGGAGTGTGTGGATGGACACGGATGCCACCGTTCGGCGGCCATTAGCTCTGCCTTGCTGAAACACTGCACCGCCTTCCCAGGCTTGAGCGGCTGTGCACACGGGGGTGACCCGGCCGATTCGGGCCGTGGGGCTCCGTGCCGGCAGTGCACCCGGCCCGATGTCGTGGTGCGTCCCCCTGTGCCATGCAGCCCTGCTTCTTACCCATGTCCTGTTCCTGTTCTGGTTGAAGTTTGCCATTAAAATCAGTTGAAACAGGCAGCCCGGCAGGCTGTGAGGCAGGCGCCCAAGCTGGTCGCACGCCAGCGTGCAGCTGATCTGCAGCTCCCGTGCAGAGAGCTGCAGATCAGCTGGGAGCTCGGATCAGATCAGACGGAGACCCCAGAGCGGCGCTTCTCAGCGCCGGCACCCTCACAAAGGAGGCTTCTCACAGACCTCCCAGAGGTCTGCCAGGTGTGCCAAGTTCCGCCTGTACCACCTGGGGGCCCCCACCTGCCTGCCTGTCTCCATGGCAAGGCAGGGGGCATCATGGGCTGGGCACATGCCGCAACTCAGGGGGCGTGACGGGGGCTACTGGACTTTCTCCCCCCCAGGAATCCTGTGAGGGGCAGGTTTGTTCAGGGCAAACCAGCATATCCTTCCTTCAGGCAGATCTCCGAGCCGAATCGGGCCCTCCTGAATCCCCACCCCGAGAGCCACACGCTCTTCCCCAGCACCAGCTGCTTTATTGTTAGCACCAACATGTACTGGGGCAGGTCAGAGCTTTTGCAGAATTTCCCCCACATTCTAAAAAGTTGAGGCACCTCCCCAATGTCTTAGCAACCGGCAGCAACAAGTAAGAAAGTTACGCTCGTATCTCCTGGCATTTTTCCTCAGCTTGGTCCCCCTGCCTCGACTCCGTCACTCTGCCTGTGGCCCCATCTGCCTCTGGAAGGCTGCTCCCACCGCTTTCCCTGCTCCAAAATAAAAGACGGCCCTTGGGCCAGAAGACTCTCCCCTCCACTACTTTGCTGCGAGAGACAGGGGCTGGCCTGGCCCAGCACCCACAATGTCCCATGGAGAAGGGTGCGCAGAAGGCGGAAGGGCAGAGGTTTGAGAGCCCAGCTCCCAGAAGTCCCTGCCAGTGGCGAGGGACATGAGGACCTCCGCTTTCCCTCTGCCACTTCTTCAGAGTCCCAGCCCATGTGCACTGGACTCGGGAGGCCCATCTGGAACGAGAGGCCCGCCACGCCTGGGCCAGCCCGGCGCCCTCTGCTCCCGCCGTGGGCGCAGACCTGGCAGGGAGGGCTGGAAGCTCTCACCAGCTCTTTCAGCTCCCGCTGCCTGTCACAGAGGTGCTCATACATCTTCTTCCCCACATCGGTGCTCTCCAGGGTGGAAATGATCTGGAGCTGGGTGTCCTTGTTGTCTATGATGTTGTATTCCAGCATCAGGCAAAGAATCTGGCGAGAGAACGAGAACGGCATTTGCCCTGCAGCTCCTGGGTCAGGGAACGTTTCAGCGGGAACCACAGACACTCCCCCGTCAGCAGGTTTCTTGAGGGGGAACTTTGGTCTAGGAGCACTTCCCCCCCCCCCCCGATTTATGTCCTGCCTTCTTCCTACAAAGGGCTCAAGGCAGCTTCCATCATTCTCCTCCTCCATCTTATCCCCACAACAACAACCCAGTGAGGTAGGCTGGGCTGATTCTGTGACTGTCACCCAGTGGGCTCCATGGCTGAGCGGGTCGCCTGAGTCCCAGTCCCAGGCTCTTAACCACCACGCCGCACTTGGCTCTCTCATTTTGATCTCAAGAAACCTGTGGAGCAGGTCCAGCCGAGCGAAACCGACAAGCTGAGGACCACTCAGCAAGCCTCATGGCTGGCGGACATGAGCAGCCAGGTTTCCCCTGGAATTTTCCTATGGACCCCAAGGGCTGAATCGCTGGGATTCAGGGCTGAGAAATCTTCACGGTGCCTTTTTAAACCTGCCAGGGATTACACTCAAAATAGCTGTTTATTACTCAAAGTTTACAGTAGCACAACTGTAAGAGTTGCATTTGGTTTCATTTTTGCATCTGCTATGTGCATTGCCAGCCACCCTGGACTGTCTTTGGACAATACTGGGCAGGCAGAATAGAAACACACACAGACGAATGGCTGCAATGAATGAACTGGGTTCTTCTCTTCCGCGAGATGCAGCAAATGGGTTTGATCGCATTGCATTCATATGGCGCTTCTTTCCCTCTTGCTAGGAACAAAGGCAGCCTACACAGTCCTCCTCCACTCCATTTCATGCTCACAACAACCCTGTGAGGTGGGCTCAGCTGAGAGTGAGTGACTGGCTCCAAGTCACCCACTGATCTTCATCGCTGAGCAGGGACTCCCAAGACCCGCGTCTCGCAGGTAGCACCCTTTCCCGTCAAAGGCCACCCAATTACCATCCAATGAGCTGCAGAGGGTGAAGGGGAGAGACGATTCTCCCTAGGGCCCAGGCTGCCTAACGGCCCCTCTGCAGAGCTGGAGAATCGGACTCACCTCCACCATGGTCTGGTTGCCCCTCAAAGCCAGCAACATACAAGGACCTAATTTGTTTTCAGCCAGCGAAAGCAGGAACTTTTTCGTCTTGTAACAAGAGCCCATTAAAATATGAACCTGCGAGAGTGGGAGAGAGTGCTGGGTTAGAGACACAAGCTTGGGAAACAGAATTCTGTACCCCTGTAAATTGGAAGGTATGGCTGTGAAAGCTGGACCATAAGGAAGGCTGAGTGCCGAAGGATTGAGGCCTTTGAATTGTGGTGCTGGAGGAGACTCCTGCGAGTCCCTTGGACCGCAAGGCGATCAAACCGGTCAGTCCTAGAGGAGATCAACCCTGACTGCTCTTTAGAAGGCCAGATACTGAAGATGAAACTCAAATGCTTTGGCCACCTAATGAGAAGGAAGGACTCCCTGGAGAAGAGCCTGGTGCTGGGGACAATTGACTGCAAAAGAAGAAGGGGGCGGCAGAGGATGAGGTGGCTGGATGGAGTCACTGAAGCAGTTGGTGTGAGCTTGGGTGGACTCCAATGGATGGTGGACAGGAAGGCCTGGAGGAATGCTGTCCATGGGGTCGCGATGGGTCGGACATGACTTTGCGACTAACAACAACAACCACCCCTGTAAAAGATGCTGACATGAATTCGGGAGCCCTTTGCTGCAGTCCGAGAGAAAAATTCACTTCAGATGGTGGAGAGGTGGCAAGCTGGTGGGTTCAGGGGTTCACTCTTCCATTTCGCTGCACCAAAAGGACAAGGCCTGTTGGGACACCATTCTGTTCAGCCTTGACCTCAGATCGCCTCACAGGAAAAATCAAAAGTGCCCCCCCCCCATCCCTGCTCCTTTCCTCAGAGGCCTCCTGTTGAGCTTAATGGCTCACCTTCCGAGGGAAGCAACTACAGAGGGATGCAGAGCTGAAGGGCTGGATTCCATTTCAGAGACGCTTCTGGGGCCAGCAAAAGGGGATGCTCAGATGCAAAAGGGGTAGGACCAGCATGCCAGCATCTTTCAGTTTCAAGCTCGCGGCATTTCAAAGTTTTAGAATGGGGAAAATACAGCACAAATGCTAGGAAACTACCAGACTCTGTCTCTGTGTGCGTGTGTGTGTGCGTGTGTGTGTGCGCGCGCGCGCGTGCGTGCGTGTGTGTGTGTGTGTGTAAGGGACCCTGTCTCCCAAGGACACCCCCATTTGTACAAAAGGCGAGGGGAGGGCATTTGATTCCAGAAAATAGCCTCAGGCAGAAAGAATCAGGGGGAGCAGTAAGAGAAGAGGATGGAGCCAGGGCAAGGGGACCATGTGAGAAACCCTGGAGAATCAGACCGGGACGCGTCTGGCCCTTGGGCCTGAGGTTCGGCACCCGTGAACTGCAGCCTCCCTGGATCAGAGTGGGGCCTACGCCCAACTAATTCCCTATCTATTCCCTGCCACCAGGAATGTGCTAGCCTGAGTCATGGTCCTCCAGGACATTCCTGGGAGAGGTGTGTGTGTGGCTGGTGCTAAGGGTGGTATGGTTGGAGAAGCAGAAGCCAGCTGGAACAGCCACCTGATTGGGGGGTGGGGTGGGGGGGCTCCCTGAGGGAGGGTCGACTGAGGGGGTCTTGCCCATGGCCCTCAGAAGCCTGGAGCTGCACAAGTGCAATTACCGAATGGGCCCTGCAGAGCTGCTGTGTGTGCTGCACTTCACGAGTCCACCAGCTCCCTTACATGCCCTCCTTGTGGCCGCGAACCCCCTCCCAGACGAGCCTTTCGAATCCAAATCAGTGCTCTGGATCGGTTTCCCCAGCCTGAGGAAGCAGGGCCACTGACTGGGAATTCTGGGTGTTGCAGTCCAAATGTGTCTGGGAGGCACAAGGTGGAAAGCTGCTCTGGATTTTACAGATTAAAATGGTGGAGTTAGGCGCTCAACACCCGCCCCCAGCATGATGCCCCCCAGCTATGGCTGGACCAACTCCCATCAACTCCAGACAGCACAATCAATAGTCAGGAATGCTGGCAGGAGTTGGGAAAGGCTGGGGTAGATGGGACTTCCTTCCCCATTAGTCCTGGATTCCGCATGAGTCAAAAGCCAGTCACAAGGGACTCCGCATGCTGTGGCGCAGGGACTGTGGAAATCCACAGAGGTGAAGCTGTGAGACTAGGTGTTGCATTTCTGCTGCAAAGTGCTCCTCCCCACATGGAAAGTGTGGGGAGCGGGTATGCAGGGAGAGTGGGGAGAAGCCTGAGGCAGGTGGTGCTGCAAAACTCCATGGCACTGCTCCCTACTCACGGACCACCCTTCTGAGTCTCCGTAATGCCCCCCCCCCCCACAAACAACATCACATCACGACCTTGCATTATTCCCAAGCAAACTCAGGAGAAAAATGGCAGCCATCACTGGTCACCCTCAAAATCTGGATCTCTCTTCTGAGTGCCTGGCCCAGCCTGAGCTCCGGAAAGACTTCTGAGGGGCCGCCTCCTTCATGGTACCTCTGTATGTGTAGGACTTCCTCTCTTGCCCATACAGCCAGTGGGGGATGTTATGGTCCAATGGGCTGGTGTTGCTGTATGAATTACGGCAGAGCAGCCCTGCGCTTCAGAGATACGTACCATGCTGGCAAAGAGCTCTCCGTCGTCATCACACGCCACGCCTCCGGGGCTGTAGAGCTGGAACCAGCCGTCTTTGCCAGCCCGCACACTCAGCAAACAGGAGTGGACCTGCCCAGCCAAACACAGACCAGGAGAAGGTGAGGACCCCTCTTCCCTAACCCTCTTCTAAACCATTGTACAGAGAAGCGAGCCGCCGGGAGAACAAGGAGTGCTTTCGTTGCGTTTGGCAACACTCAACTCATTCCAGCAAGCAAAGTGGGCAAAATCTGAGCATGGAAATAATTATGCTTGAATAAGTAGGTGAGGTGGGACATGGAGGAAACCTGTTGGGGCAACATGGGGCACAGGATTAAGGCTTCCAACCAGGCACTTGGAGGCAGGGAGGAGAGAATGGAGATTATGGCAGAATCCTTTCCCTTCTGTCACAGAAATAAACAGTCCCTGTAATTTAGAGACCCGCTATCCATGCATGCATTCCACTCTGGTCAGTGGGAAGGCTGTTTTGTTAGGTTAACGTAAATCTGCCCCAAGCTGGTGCTCTCCAGATGTTTTGGACTATAACCCATAGCCAGGGGCGATGGGAGCTGCTGTTCAAAACACACAGAGGGCAGCACATCTGGGGAGGAGTTCTCTAACAAAACAAAGCTTTATCTTTTGCTTCAGCTTTTTCAACAGAAGATGGGGGAATTATTTGCGGTATTTATTTTGCAGAAGAATCAATCATTGTGGGCTGCAGATTCCTCTAATGCTGTGAAACCAGCAGCAGATCGTAGACACGCAATGCAGGTTCCATGTTTACACAAGATGCAAGAAACCATCCATCTCACGAGCAGCATTACAACCCTGGGTGGTAGAGAGCAAGGCAGACAAGGCCACGCGTCGGGACCCAGAGCTACTTCAGACCAGAACATCCCGACAAGCAGTACTCCCCGTCCCTTAGATCATTTCACTGGAACAAGACTCACTTCCTGCCTTGGATCTTCCGCGAATCTTTGAATGACGTACTTCAGTTCCCTTGAAAGGGCAAAAGATAAAACAAGACAAAAAAAAAGCAGAAGGGTGACTGGCTACTGGCTGGTTCCAAAATGCACTCAGCTGTTTCATTTCATTCTGGCTGTGCTTTCAGAGACTGACGTTCCTCTTCTGCAGAGGTTATAGGCGAATGAACAGGATGCACATTTCACAGGAAGGAATTATGAGGTTTCTAGACAGAGCTGCCAAGGTGGTGCTGATAGACTAGGAAGGGGCTTTGTGACTGCCGGAGAAATCCACCCTGAAAGTTACTCTGGAGCACTCCCTAAAGGCTCACAGCCTCCACTCCTTCTCAGCTGCAGTACTTTCCTTAACTTGGCAGAAAGAATACTGTTTTTATTACAGCAAGTTCATAACGATCACATGGTACGGACCTGCTGACTGTCCTTCCACTTCAGACTGCAGAGGAATAGATTGAGGGCAATGCTGGAGTGCCACAGAAAAAGGCTGCCCTCCACAGAGAAAATAAGCACTTCAGCTAAAGAACATCTTTCTCTGATCTGCCACATTTCCAAAGGCAAGGAAGCATATTTTTTTGTTTTTTTTTTGTTTTATCTGGGGAGGCATTAGAAATGCAATTTCCCCAAATTCTGGTCTAAAGTGGTGCATTCTTGCTAGGCTGTACTATTGGCGATTTGGTATCTGCAAGTCATCTCTTTTTCTTTTTCTTTTTGGCAACCCCCGCCCTCTGGTGCAAGTGGAATCAGTCCCTGTTTGCTGTAGCTCCATTAACGATAGCTGTGTGAGTGCCATGGATTTTAATTCACTAATAATTTTGCAGGGATTAATATCTCCACCTTTCTATCAACTTTACTATCTGAAGCAGTACGCATCATCTGCAAAGTAATTTCTTAAAATTGCATAATTAATACTCTCTCCCACAAAACACATACATAAATAACAGAGCTAAAGTACTCTAATAACAGCAGCAAACTCCAATTCAGCACTCCATTTCTTTCCTGGGTCTAAGTCCAAAGTCTGGCAGCCACAGTGTAAAGCGGCAGAAGTTTCTGAGCAAGTCTTCAAGGGAGGCCCCTCATAGACAGCATTACAGTAGTCTAGGTGATCCTAATTGATAACTGAATAACTGCAAGCATCTATCGGTAGGAGAGATGGCCTAAAGATGGATTGCACTTTTGGGCCCCATGGCAACTGCCAAAAAGCCAAGAGCTGTTTGCTCAACTCCACTGTTTTTATTAAAAATATTTGTGACTGGTAGATACGGCAAGGGGGAACTTTCAATCCAACATTTCTTATTCTGCTAGCAACCTTCAGAACCTCAGTGCTGTTATGGAGCAGAGAAACACTGACATCAGCCTCCGGTGTCCCTGGTTTATCTATATGACCCCAGAAAATCTTTTCAAGCAAACAAGCACTTACTTTGTGAACTTCTCGTGTGCAAGAGCCCTGAAATCAAATACAGAAAATTATGAGCGATTTCCGTCATTTTCCTTCAGGCAGCTGTTTCCTAAAATAGTTATGAGTTCATGCCAAGAGACAACTCCGTGTCTGCATTATATGAACACTGGGTGCAGGAACTCACAGAGCACCTGCAAGGCAGAAAGATGGGCAAAGCACATTTTAATAATCTTAAACAGCTTTTCCCAACTGGCCGCCCTCCGGATATGTTGGGTTACAAATCCATCCACCCCAGCTGGCATACCAAAAGATGGCGATGATGGAAGCTGTCATCCAACGCATCCAGAGGGTGTCCAGTGGGTGATGGCAATGTAACGTTGCTGTTGTTACATCACTATAACACCCATAGCCAAAGCTCTCTGGGCAGTTCACCCATCCAGATTTCGACCAGGCCCAACCCTGCTTTGCTTCCAAGATCAGGCAGGAGCAGTTACTTCAGGTTATATGAAAGCTTTCAACATAATGCTGAAATCATATCGGATAAAGAGGGATACGTGTAAAAGAACACTCAATCAGAAGACTCAAAATCGGGAAGATCCACCATTCTCTTCCATCTGCTCCGGCTCCAAGTTCATTTTCAAGCCCAATTCAAAGTACTGGCCGTAACATCCAAAGCCCGAAATGGCCCTTAGCTGCCTAGGTGTGAAGATCACCTTCCGTGGTTCTTTTCCCGGAACCCCAGCCAGGCTGCTCTAAGAAAAGGGCCTCTTTCTGCTGTGCAACCCCAGCTGCAACAGGTGCTTCCCAGGGAGGCGCTTTGCTCTGTATTCTTCCAGGCTCCAGGTGAGAGTTCCATCCTTTCTCAGGCATTGCAGCATTCCAATTCATGTTGCTTTCAAACTGCTGCTATATTGTAAAACTTGGCACTGCTGCTTGATTTTATTTCAGTTTTCACACTGGTTTTCTACTGCAGTTTTAAACATTTATATTGTGTTTTATTATTTCAATTATTACAAACTGCTTAGGGAGCTTCAGGTATAGGTTAAGGCAAACCGATCCAGACCTGTTTCTCCTCGTCAGACCTGCTGAGCCAGTGGCTTCGTATCACCTTCTGTTTAGGATTGGTTCTAGGGTTAGGCACAGATTTTGGTCGGGCCACATTTTGAAGCAACGCAACCTGGTCTTGTGCTTCCAGGCTAATGTGCAGACTGAAATGTAGCTACTGGCTTAAAATATATTTAGACAAGACTACTTCAAGAGAAAATAGGCTGTGGGGGAGGAGGGCAGAGGACATGTTGCATTCCCAGATCTGAGGTCAGAGACAAGGTTCCAGCCTTGGAGATGGGAATCCATGCTCCAATCCGCCTCACCCGCCTCACAGGCATCATGGAAAAAAATCCACCACCTGCCTCTCTGGGAACAGAGGTTTGACCCTGGAAAACTGGACCGCCTTGCTTAAAGGGAGCATCCCAGGTGACAGGGACGAGATCTCAGAGGCTGGGCTACGGTGTGCCCTGTGTCCTTGGCAGCCTCTCCCTAGCGGCAATGCAGAGCCGGGCCCACCTCCAGCGTTCCTGCGGCGCTTGGGGCTGCAGGGGCCACGGACATCCTAGGCAGATACGGCCGCTAGGGGGAAATTCCCTGTGTGCTTAGACAGGAAAAAGTCCTCTGAGTGTTGCAGGATGTTTTGCTGCCCTGACAGGCTGAGCTTTAAGGGTTCACATTTCCTAAGACAAGAGGTCGAAATATGGATTTGAGTAAGCAGTGTCACACAGAGTTAAAACACAGCCGCACACAAAGGTTAATGTGGAAATAATGACTGGACTCATCAACAAGGTGGGGGAGAAATTTGCTCCAGGTCAGTTTTGATAGCAGAAAATTCTCTAATTGCTCAAACATTTGGCACAGGGACTGTGAGGTTTTTAGGAATTCCTGCCAAAGGAAAGTCTTGTAGGCCTGATATTAAAGATCCATCAGGCTGGCAGGTTTCTATAGTGACTATTTTGAACTGTTTTGGGCTTGCCTTTAGCCTGGAGAGGTGCTATATAAATACTGAGATAAAAACGGAAAAACTAGCACTGAGGTGCACCAAATAAATAAAGGAATAAATAAAGGAAAAGCTAGCACTAAACTGAAGTTATTCCACAGGGAGATGCGGTCATCGAAGACACTAATGGAAACTTTCAGGACCCAGTAACAGAAAGTGCAGGCTCGTAAACAGGATTTTCTGCTCTACTGCAATCCCAGGTGTGCTCATTAATTGCACCCCAATTAAGCCGTGGTCACATCTAATTAGTGTGGCACATTAGTTAAGCAATTAATGGTCACCCTCACAAAGTGCCAGCATTAACGTAGTGATCAGCAATCCACACTGACTCTTTGGTTAGAGAAACTGATGCACAGAAAGTGAGGCCAGGAGTGTCCGCATCGCCTCAGTCTTTCCAGAGCGTGCGCCATTCACGACAGCTCAGCCTTCCGAGGCCCCAGGCCACTGAGGGATGCCATAAGCAGGCAAATTGGGCAATTACAGGCTGTAATGCTTGCCCCTCAGAGATTTGCATTTCATAAACACTCGTGTCATTAATAGGTTTCAGAGGGAGATTGTCAGCAGCTCTTGCTCTGCAGTCAAACTCTGCTTATGGGAACAAACACGCTTCTTCTTGTTACTGGTTTGACGTAGCACGCTCAGCCCACCGTGATGGCCTGGCACCACCGCCTTTTTGTTATTTGATCCCACGAGACAGTCGATCCTGTTCATTTCTTACTTTCAAGGAATTAATCTCAGTCTAGTAGGGCTTTAGGGCAAAGAGAATCTGTCCTTCCCACTCCTCAAACAGGCAGAGAAGCAATCCAAGAATTGTACTTTCCTGGACATAGGCTGAAGATGAGATAACAAGGGAGCTCAGAGGATGTATCTGAAACTCTGCATTGTCATAGAATCATAGAATAGTAAAGTTGGAAGGGGCCAAGAAGGACATCGGGTCCAACCCCTGTTGCTGCAGGACACCACGTTACACCATCCCACTCAGATGGCTGCCCAGTTTCTTCTTAAATGTCTCCAGTGTGGGAGAGCCCCCCACCCCTCCAGGCAGCTGGTCCCACTGTCGTGTTGCTCTGACACTGAGGAAGCTTTTCCTGACGCCCAGCGTGAATCTCGGTTGTTTCAGCTTGAGCTGATTATTCCGTGTCCTGCACTCTGGCACCAGCAAGAAGAGATCTTGACCTTCCTCTCTGTGACAGCCTTTGAGGGACTTACAGAGGGATATTATGTCCCCGCTCAGCCTTCTCTCATCAAGGCTGAACATGCCCAGCTCTCAGTCTCTCCTCACAGGGCTGTGTTTCCAAACCCTGGGTCATTTCTGTTGCCCTCCTCTGGACCCTTTCTAATTTACCTGCATCAGACAAAAGGAACTGAAAAATGGCTGACACCCTTCTAGATGGACCCATCCTGCTGTATCTTCTTCCTGCACATGGTTGCCTCCTTGTCTGCCACGTCTGACCAGGGAAAACAAGCCAAGCGATGCACAGGAAAAACTGAGCGACAAAGAAAGGACTAACCGAGCAGGTTCAGGCTGTGTTTAGTCCATTGATGTGCCTGATAGCTCTGCTTGAGGGTGAGCAGAGAACAAGGATAGACAAATCAGGCAATGTCAGTTTCTCGTTTTCCAGTCTGAATGCAGTTTATTTCAAGCTTTTGACTTTTTCTTTTTTAAAAAGTACTTATGAACACTTGCATGTATTTTTGCATGCATTTCCCATAAATGTGCATTTTTGTGCACACTTTGGTCTGCACATTCATTTTTGGCAAACCATCTCCCCAATATACTGTACATTTTTTTACCCCTTTTTGATTGTTGAATGCCACTGCAAAACTTGAAGAACTGGATGTTTCAAAGAAAAATGGAGTTTCAATTTGTATATTGGTTCAAAAGTGTGAAATTATGTAGGTTCACAGTGAAATACAGACCAAATGAATGTTTACCCTTGGCCCTATTTCTAGATCAAAGTGCATACAAAGAATGCTTTCTAAGCACTATACAAATATTTTGGCATGAAATATTCTGAACTGGTTCTATGAAGAGCTTTTGCTACCGTTGCCATCTTCCTTTTAAGGCTTCCTCCTTAAAACTTAAGCAAAGTATTTATGGTTTAATTTTGCTTCTTGAGTTTTGAAAAGTCTCTACTGTGTATTAAAGAATTTATAAGCAAGTCAATTTGAATTGTCTACACGTCTCCAAGCATCAGCAAATCTGACCAATATTCATCTAACATGCTGCTACAGAAAGTGGCACACAGAGGAATTTGTTGCCATGGACTTACTCTTTGGGGAAGGGGATGGGTTGAAGTAGGCTGGCGAGAGAAGGTCTCCAATCATCATAGTCAGATCTGAAAACAGAAGAGTGCTGTTAGCTTAGACACAATATATGCCTCTATTGTTTTATTGGCTCTTTATTTATCAAGCGTACAGTCCACCCTGCAGAGTTGTTCTGGCCGAAATCCACCCAGTTGTAGTTGTTTAGTTGCAAAGTCATGCCCGACCCATCACAACCCCATGGTCAACATTCCTCCAGGCTCTCCTGTCCTCCACCATCCCTCGGAGTCCACCCAAGCCCACATGCACTGCCCCAGTGACCCCAGCCAGCCACCTCGTCCTCTGCCATTCCCTTCTCCATTTGCCATCAATAGTTCCCAGCATCAGGCTCTTCTCCAATGAGTTGTTCCTTCTCATTAGGTGACCAAAGTATTTGAGCTTCATCTTCAGTATCTGATCTTCTAAAGAGCAGTCAGGGTTGAGTTACTGTAAGATTGGCTGGTCGGATCTCTTTGCAAACCCACCCAGAGCTGGCCCTAATTAAATGTTCCTCACTCCAACAAAAGGAGCATCTTTGGTGCTTCCTTCCATTTGTTCAACATCAATGGGTTTGTTTCTAAAATTCCATGTATAGTACATTATACTACTAAGGCACAATTTTCTTGTATGATTTATCTCAGTTCTATAAGAATAAATTTGTAAGCATGGACTAGGCTGGAGTCTACTGGCAAACTGGCATGGCTGTCGAACTGTTTGGCAGAGTAGACAGGAAGTGAAAAGCTAGTATTCTGGTACATGCATCGTATGTTTTGTCTGCGCCCTTACCAAAGGGAGGTGAACCACTGTTAAATTAATTAAAATGGAGACTACAAGAGTAACTGGCAAGAGAAAACTTAAAGGACTAACAAGCTTTCCTCAAGAACTGTGCGACAGCTCTGAAGTAGCACTGCCCTATCATTGGACAACTCTCATTGTCCCTATGAGAAGACCTGGATACAGTCAAAGTACAGCAAAGGGAAGGGGGCACTGTATTATTATTAATTTAAGGAGCCAGAAAATTACAGAGCTGCCAGCCTCTGATAAGCTGGGGGAAAAGCAATGATAGATCTAACAGTGTTTGTGACAATTGGAAGAACAAGTCTTCTCAAGGACAAATCAGCGCAGCAAAATCTTTCTTCGGTGGCGCTAAATTCTTCAGATCCAGTAGAGAATCCTTTGGTAGGCAGTATATCCAGAACTGTTCAAAAAACTTTTGATCACACTCCTTGCCAAAGGAGCCAACGTTTTTTGCATGGCCATGCTTAGCTGATGAAGCTCCCGACCAAAAGGTGAACTTTTCACTCCTTCTCCAACGGAGCTGCCAGGTTGCTGCCAGGGACTGAGCGTTGTGCTCACCTAACTCCAGTCCTCCATCAGCTTCACTGGCTCCCCATTGAAGTCCGGGCCCAATTCAAGGTGTTGGTTATCACCTATAAAGCCCTTAACGGCTTGGGTCCTGGTTACCTAAAGGAGCGCGTATGTCCATACATGCCCTCCCGCCCCTTGAGATTGGCGGCAGAGGCCCTTCTCCGGGAGCCCTCCGTGAAGGACATTAGGAGGGTGAGCACCCGGAGGAGGGCCTTCTCTGCGGTGGCACCCTATCTGTGGAATGCGTTCCCCAGAGAGGTCCACCTGGTGCCATCATTATTTGCTTTTCGGCGCCAGGCCAAGACCTTTTTATTTAAACGTCATTTTAATTGTTGATTTTATTTATTGATTTTAACAACTTTGGCCAGGATGTCTCCAACTGTATTTTATTGTATTGATGATATTTATTTATGTTGTAAGCCACCCTGAGGCTGAGGCAAATGGGGCAACATATAAGTCTGCTAAATAAATAAATAAATTAATTAATTAAAAAACCCGGCCAGGTAAAGAACCCCCATCCAAGACAGATTTGGACCAGCCAAGCTGCCAATATTTGGCTGTTCCCTTGAATGTTGTAAAGAAGTCCCTGCAGATTTTACTCTGCTTAGCCAGTGGCTAACAGGGGACAGTGCTCATCTCCAACTCTCTTGAACGTTATAGTCAATTATCCACTATGCTTTTGTCTTCTGACTTGTACCATTTATTTTACTGCTGGAAAGCCAATATTTATTTTTAAACATGATGTAAGCCACCTCAAGATTTTTTTTTCCCAAATGGAGGCAGGGGATAAATTTGTGTAAGAAACAGTTATACACTGCCAGTGCTGTAATTACCATAAAGGGTAAAAAAAGGGTAGAATCTCATTATCATGGGTAAAACCAATGCTTTCCATGCAGGGATCTCAGCTTTGATCTCAGACATTTCCCCACAGTGCTAGGATCGAATCCTGCCTGAAACCTCAAACAGCTGCTGCCATCCGTGCTGACAATACTGGGCTGGATGGACCAAGGGCCTGACTCAATGCAAGCGCCATCCTTGGTGTGCCCAGTTAAAATGCTGAGGAGGCAGATGGTAGGGAAGAACCCCTGCTGGAGTTCTGTAGTCAGTCAAAACAGCTTCAACCATGGGTCCTCAACCTACAGCCCGCGGGGTGGATCCGGCCTGCCACACCCATGTCGCCGTTCGCTGCCGGAGGCGGTGGCTCGCTCGCTCGGAGATGGTTTTGGACTCGCTGGGAGATCTCCGAGCGAGCGAGCCACCGCTGTGCGTGCCCGATGCCGCCTCGCGCATCCCCGATGGCACCTCACCGACCCACGCCCCCAGGCACCCCCGCTTCACCGGCCTGCAACGGTCACCACAGCCTTTCAACTGGCCCCCTGTTCAAAAGGTTTGAGGAGCCCTGGCTTAGACAAAACAAGTCAAATAGTCTGACCTGAGAAATGGTCAGGCTTAGAAATGGACGGTTGGGACCACCCTTCTTCCTGCAAACTCTGCCCACTTCCAGTTATCATCAGATTGAAAGTGGGCAGGAAGTACGTTGAATGCATACAATCCAGACTTCCCTGTTTTGTTACATCCATAGGTAGGAATCCCCCCATGATATGACATTCGATGGTAGTCTCCAATATCTTTGGACTGTCTTTGTTGAAGTCTTCCTTGAATAATAGCAATGCATGTTGCGATAGATAAAATATACAGGGGTACACACTAAGTATGTTTTTATTATGACAGATTAGCAATAAAAATTAGTATACAAGAATGATGGTCCCCCGGCTCAGTTTCCTTTTATTTTACAAACTGAGAGAAAAGGAAGAGATATATACATGGGTCAAATCATAAAACTCGGCACAAACAGGAAGCATCCAGCAGGACTGCTCCACCTCCATGGTGCCGCGATGCTTGCAGGAGCCTGAGTTTGCACGAGAGCTTTTGCAGCTCTAAAAATAGCCTGGCAGAGGAGCGGAAATGCTTGTTTAGACGGGGCCAGGTCAGCAGGGCTGTTTTCTGCGAGCTCTGCTGACACGCACTCTCCTGCAGATGAGCATTTCCCCTCATTGCGAGCTATTTTTAGAACCACAAAAGCCCTGTTGCACGAGCAGTGAATCCTGAGCAGCACCAACAGGGTGCTACTCAGATGACTCCTATCTGTGCCACTCCGTACGTAGGGCTGCAAAAGCAGGAACCAGGGGGAACCCTGAGGTTATGGGGTCCTTCAAAGCAGATGACAGACAGGGCTTCCCCACCTTGGTGCCCCACAGCTGTTGTCGGACTACAACACCCACCATCCCTCAGTTGAGTCATGGATTTTAGGGCCCCAGCTTTCCCTTCAGATAAACCCCTGGGATGCTATTCCATTTGCCAAATAAAAGCTACCTGGGGTTGAACATAATTTCATTTTCTTTCGGGTGATTGGCTTCCTTTTGACTTTCCTGACTCGAGAAACAATTTTGTGGGATGTTTCACTGCGAAGAGAGAGAAAAGCTCTCGATCTGCTTTTGCCGCACCATTTTCCTATGGCAAGGGGTCAAAGCTGTTGTAAGCTTTCCTAACAGGGGTTCTGCACTTTCAATCTCCTTTCTTAGAGGCATTGACCAGAACTACAGCCGGCATGCCAAATAGGATCACACCACAGGTTTGCATAAGAGGAATATGATCCTGGCAGTTCTATTTCCAACTCCTTCCCTAATTATGTCTAACACGGAATTTGCCTTTTTCACAGCAGCCACATGCTGGGCTGACATTTTCATGGAGCTGCTGACCGTAACTCCCAGACCTTTCTTGGCAGTCGCTGCTAGTCCAGCCCCATCAGCTTACACTTGAAGTTGGGAACTTCCCTTTCCTGAGGTGCAGAATTTGGCATTTGTCCCTGTCGAATTTAATTCTGCTGCTTTCAGCCCAGCACTCTAGCCTCTCAAAATCCCTTTGAATTTTGCGCCCTTTGTATCAGCTATCCCATCCAATTTTGTGTTATCAGGAAATCTGAAAAGCTTTCTCTGTGAGCCATCCAAGTCATTAACAGAATGATTTATCTGTCCTCCTTCATACACACTTAACCAGCTCCTCAAAGTCCGCCTAGTCTTTACCTAAACCTCGCCATCTCCTCATATCTGGAGTAGGCTTCTCCTTTATGGATTAAAAGGCCCCCTAGTTCTCCTAGCACAAATCTGGGAGTCATGGCATGTTTCTTCTCCTGCTCCCTCCCCAGGGACTGGAAAAGCAGCGGAGAGAAAACACGTGCATTTTGGCAAATGATGGACCGAAACTTAAGAATCAAAAGGAAAGGAATTCACTCCATCAGCACCTCCCGGCATTCAGCCCACCCCAGTGCTTCAACAAACATCCTACCAGCCTTCACACCGGTGCAGCTCTTCTTAACAACAGCAATAAGCAGGGAATCTACTTTGCAATTCAATCTTTTTGGGATCCGATTCAGCATCCTCAGCAAATGAGATGTAGGCAATTTAGATAATAAGGTTCTGAATGCAGTATTAAACTGACAATATCTTCTGGGAATAATTACAATAATAAACTGGAACTATTCAAGTCAAATAATGAATCACGAGACCCCACCTTGGGTGTTCTGCCTCATCAGCATTTAGGTGTTTCCTTCAGAGAATTTTTCCAGCCCAGTCAAAAGTAAAATTGATTCTACATCTTAGCTTGCAGTTGCAAAGCAATCCGATGCATTTCCACTGAAACGCAAGCCTTGTTGAAGTCAATGGAGCGCACACCAAAGAAATTAGCCACTTTGAAGCCATAAAGAAAAGCACAAGTGGGCAGGCATTAAGCCTGGACGATCTACTTGTTTTGGTTGGGTGTTTCACCGGAATTCTGAGATCCACCAACCCAGTCCTCCCTGCCCATAAGACCAGAATGCAACTGGGGTCATCCAATGATGCTGAATGGTGGGAAGGTCAGCATCAGACGAGAGAAGGGCCTCCTCACCCAGCAGAGGGTTAAAACAGGGGACTCGAGGCCACGAGATGCACTGATTGCTGCCAACTTAGCCTTTGAAAAGGATGAGACAAATGGATGAAGGGTAAGATCATCGATGGCTAGCAGCCATGGCGGCTGCATGTCCGCTGTGAGATCACGGGTGATGTGCCTCTTAGAGCAGGTTCTGCTGAGGCCTTCATGGAATGCATGTCCTCCTCTGAGTGTCCCATCTGGCCAGCCACTCTGGGAACAGCCCACCTGACTAAAGATGCGATCCTAGGCCTGTCTAGACGGGAAAATGTTTTACAACTCCAACATTCCGCACCTAGCCAGCTTGGCTGAGAATGGTAGGAATTGCAGGACCATGTTCTGTCGACGCGTGCTTGGACTGTGCCTTAAATAAGGCTCTGCTCTCATCTGGCACTGTTTTTCTTATGTTCTCACAACAGAGCTGTTTGCTTCGTGATGGCCCTGTCGGGCTATTCAGCAACAAATAAATTAGAAAATGAATGAATAAAATAAACTCAAGGAGATTCCTTATAGAATTCAGATTATGTATTCATCTCACCCAGTATTATCTTTGTTTTTATCATTAATGGTCAGATGCAGTGTGTTGTTTGTTGGTGCGTTGTTGCTGTTGGGTTTTTGTTTGTTTTTTGTAAGCCGACCAGATTTTGGATGGCATAAAAAAACTCTGAATAAATAAATAAATATTGCCTACTAGAGTGTCAGCTATTGGGCAGTATAGAAATGTAATGTCCACATAGACAAAAGTGAATAACACTCTGCCAGGAGCCTTCTGGGGTTCTCAGCAGAAGCTTCCCCACCACCTGCTAGACTTTTGACTGGATATGTGAGAGGCTGAAAGTGGGAAGGCCTTCCGCTTGTAAGGCTGCACTTTTCCACCATACCGTGTGCTCCCGGAATGGGTGAAGGGGGAAACCAGCGCAGGAGCAGCCCTGGGGGCTGAGGGACCAGCCCCGACGTGCTCCCTATGATGGGGCAGGGAAACGCCGCACTCTAGGAGCTGGGCTTGCAATCCCCATCAGTGTTAACCAGCAGAGCCAATAGTGAGAGATCATGGGGACAGTCCAAAACTCGGAAGGGCTACACATCCCCCATGCATCACCCAACCCCAACTTCTCCACGCTCTTTCATCCTGATGGGCAGCCATTCCCTTTCCATCTCTCCCTTGTGGGGCCATGAGAAGACAGGCCAAAAGCAAACTTGCTAGATAACCAGAGGGGAGATGCATATGGCGGCTCAGCGGTCAAGGAATGGCTCAGAGCCACAGGCAAGGAGAGCCCCGCCTTGTCAGCTAGGCTGAAGAGCCTCCATGCAAAGAAAAATTGCCCGCTTTCATCAGCTGGATACGACCTTTGGAGCTCAACCAGCCGGGCCAGAAGCCCTTTTGCAGACATTCCTGTCCAGGCTGGATTCATTGCTCCGTGATTTGCACGTCTTGCTAGAGGCCTGCAAATGCTGCGGAGGAGAAGCTGGGCAAGCGCACCCCCCACCGGCTTGGTTCCGGAGACGTGCAAGGCACGAAGTAGCTACTCACAGCATCTTGAGAATTTCCACGTAGCAGCCAAGGATGCGGTCCGCCTGGGGGCTGAGTTCAATGCTCATCGTACTGCAGGCGGGGCTGACCATCAAGCAGTCTATGAGGTTCAGCTCACTGTCATTCCCAGCGTTGGCCGTCATCTTCTGGTTGGTGGAGTTGTTGCGTTCCACCTCCACGTGGACCTCGCTGGAGGTGATGATGACCGACTTGTGGCGGGACTCGGCCAAAGTGGCCTCTTGGGACACCAGGTCGGGACTTGTGTGGAGCAGCCGGAGAGGCAAGTTGGGCTTGCGGTCGCAGGGCTGCTGGCAGCCATTCCGAATTTCCTTCAGGCTTGGAGAGTTGTCTCGGCTGCATTTAAAGGAGATTTCAGAAGTAAATAACTCGATTAGCTATAGGTAGCGGAAACAACAAGCAAGAGACTGGACAGGGCAAGTCGAGTTATGTTGCAACAGATCCTCATCTTGTTTCTTTTTAATCTTGGATTGTTGAAATTTATACCGGAGGAAACTGCATGTCTCCAAAAGGGATTTACTATGCCGGACAGCGCTAATTTGTGCAGGTCTGAGAGCTCAGCCTTCTGTGGAAGAATGCTGTTCCTCCCTCCAAATGACACAAAATGGTGATGAAATCCACACACTAGTAGAGAGCTGGCCACGATTTTGCTGGAAGTTACTCTGAAGAAGGGGCGGAGCGTGGCCACACCCCTGTCCTGGTGGACTGGCAGCAAGTCCTGTCCCACCCCTCTCGGCTTTGGCCGCGGATCACCACGGATTGACTAGACCCTGAGGGCCGCTCGGGAAACACAGGGAACATGAACAATCAGGGTGAGTAGCCTGATGGCCTCAAGGTGCTTTGGACTGCAGTATCCATCTGCCTCAGGCAGGTGGCCAAGGATTATGGGAGCTGTAATCCAAAACCTCTGCACAGCACAAGGGTGCCAGTCCCTGTCATAAGAGAGTCAGCTCATTACTGCATCTAGCTGAGTGCTGCCTCTCCAGGATTCTGGGTGGGTGTGGGGGGGCAGGGGGTATCTTTTCCAGCCTTACCACCTGCAGATGAAGGTCTTGGGGCTTCTGCGGGCCCCACAGGTGCTCCACCACTGAGCGATACGGCGCAGCATCACAGGAACCCGCCCCAGGTCAAGTGCTCAGGCTTGGACACTCGGATATACAATACTCCACGCGTGGGAAGTGAAAGTGAAATCCACACGTGCGTGACAGGCCACACGAGTGGCAGAGCACTGGCAGTCCACTCTTCCCCCAGCTGCCTCTGCGACCAAGGCTCCCATAAGCCACTGCGAGGGCCCTCCCTTCCGCAGGACACAGGGCGAGCAAAGGGGCAGCCTGGTGCTCAGGACCACGCGGCACAAGGGGCTGGGTCCTCACACCACACCAGCGGCGAGAGATCCTTTTGGAAGGGCCAGCCAAGACTGCAGTGCCCCTTGGCGAGGACGCCGAGCCGTCCCGATGCACCTCTCGCACCCAATGTGCCACCGTGCGCGTCGTGTGCTCACCCATGTGACAAGAACCACAAGCAAACAGCGGATCAAGCGCAAAAGAGGAGTGTGCCAGTTTACGAAGGCCAGAACTGACCTGTTGATGAATTCCTCGTAGCAAGAATAAATAGCTGCTAAACATACGGCGACGAGATTTGGCAGGACCCTGGGATGAGGGCACTGCCCCGTTGGTCCATGCATGCTGGAACGAGAGCAGACACAAGGTGTGGGACAGAGCGGCTGCCGTGCGACGCAGCCACCGAGAGGCCAACGTCTACGGCCCCCCCCCTTCCCCATACGGCAGGCGGGCTCGGGAGGATGCTCGTTCTGCTCCCAGATACTGGGAGCGACACCAGGTTGCGGGAAGGCTGCCCTGCAGAAGCAAACGCTCGGGCAGGCGCTGCCGTTTTGCCAAAGGGCGGTTAAGGACATGCAGTCTGGTGCAGCCGTTGTGCCCTCGCGGACCTGCGCATTTCACAGTAAAATGACTATTGGCCATCGCAGCCGCAGTGCAGAGGACGCCACTAAGAGGAAGACGAGGAGGAGGATACAAGGATGAGCACCCGAGGAGGCGCTGAACAGACATGCACTGACCTGTGGATAAACTTCTTCACGACCTCCATGCCAGCATTCAATTCATTCAAGGCCAGAATGTACTCCTGAGTGAAGAGCCTCAACCGAGGGCACTTTCCAAAATCCTGCCCCAAACAGAAGCAGGATCAAGAAAAGCTACAGCAGCAGCATGGATTTCCAGCCAGGAATTTTGAGTAAGGGCCTGTTCGCCTGGACAACACTTCTTTTCTCCTGCCTTCTCTGTTACCTGAAAAGGCTTCCCAACTTGGTGTCCTCTATTTGTTTTGGACTGCATAGTACAGCATCCCCAGCCAGCCAGCATGGCTATTGGCCACGTTTTACAGTTAAAATAAGACTACTGTCACCAGGCCATTAGAGTGTCTATTCTAACAAATCACAGATTCCATTTTCCAACAAATCTTTCTGTTTGTGGCCTTCCCTCGAACAGATTTCATTAAATCATTGCAAACTAATATTCTTGTTTTTGTCAGGTGGCTTAATTTTTGGCTTTTGCTCCATTTTAACAACAAGAAGAAGAAATTTTCTTTTTGTAAATTACACTGGGAAGCTCAGAGCTGGGCAGTGGCATATAAGTATTTTAAAGAGCTACAAATTATTCTAATCCCAAGCACAACAGCATCATATGATTTTTCTGGCTCTCTGGACTTCTTCCCCCTGGGAAAAGCCACTGAGAAGTCAGTCACATACACTGAACTGGAATGCTACCAAAGACTGGGAAGGTTGCCAGCAATGTAGCTTAGCCTACACTGGTTTTGACATTGTTCCCACTGAGTCCAGTTCTGGGCTGAACTAGCCATTTTGGGAAGCATGTGGCCCTACCACTTCATCTCTTGACGGTGGTGGTCGTGAGATGATGATGCCAAACCCATGACAACAAAAACCCTAATACTTCAGGGAGAAGGCCTTCGCCAAGGATGGACCAAAAGCAAACATTTATTTTGTATGAATAATGTTTATGCTCCAATGGAAAGGGATCGCCAGGTTGGCTTCCAGATCTCACATCCAAAATACCCAACAGTAACATCAACAGATCCACTTGAAGTCAACAGAAAAAGCACCTCTTAAAACTGTATTATAAGAATTTAAAAATGAAAAATAAAACAACCCAGATTATTTCACCTGGTGCCAAGATGTTTGTCCTCAAGATTAGCCCAGCCCTCAATTTTCACTTGGAGGTAAGACACACTGAGCCAAGTGGAGCAGAGGCTGAATTAGTCACCAAAATACTACCCCCTATTTGAAGAAGAAACACATTCTTCAAATGTGGATCGCTGGTAGCCGAAATGGCACTGCCCACACCCAAGAGAAAGGCAGGGGCAAGCTGAGGGCACACCAAGGTTGGCAGATGTGCCCCCGTCAAAGACAAAAAAGCCTCAGGGGAGAAGCTCCTAAGGGTGGGGCCTCATGGGGACCCGGCGTGCTCGCTGCGTGTGAGTTTAGGGGAGAGCAGAGAGTAGGGTGGGGGGAACACTCGCTGACTCAGACCTTGCAGAGAGCCCTGTGCGGGCCAGCCAGGCGCTGCAGGTCCTGCTTGAATCCCTGAACTCGAGCAGGTGTTGAAAGGGAGGAAGGGGGCTGCCGTGGACACTCATTCCAGGAGGCTGCGGAACTGGGAAGGGAAGCAGGACTGGGGGAGCCTGGGAAAGGGGCCAAGTTGAACCTTTGGGAGGAGAGAAGCGGAGGCGCTTCTCCCAAGGCCGGGCTCCCGGGTGGGCAGGCGGTCTCTGGGGACAGCCAAAACGCACCGTTGGCGGGGGAAGAGTTTCTCAGGCACAGTTGAGGCGGCCCGGCTCTTGTCCCCCTGGCATGGCATCAGCAGCGGAGCCGGGCCCAGTTAAAAGATCAGCAGGCAGAGAGGGGGCACGCTCGCTTTCAGAAGGCCAGGCACGCCCCTAAGGAGGGGTCCTGGAGGTGAGTACTGGACTGGCCTCAACAGCTCAGAGAGTCCTTCTGAGCGCTTTGTGCTTTTGGTCACGGGGAACATTTTGCAAGGAAAAAGTCTGTGGCTTTGAATGCACGAAGGAGGGACCCCAGTTCATGACAGCAGGAATGCTTGAGGCGTGCTTCTGCCCAAGGTTGCTGCTAGAAGGATGCAACGAATTGTGCTTGGCAACTGTGGAGGGCCTTCTGCTGACTGAGATCTCGTTGGATGTGGTCACCTCACAGAAAGCATTCCTGGGAACCCGGAGCTAAGAGGCAGAGCACCCCGACTCACCATGTTGTGTTTGAGGATTCTTTGGACGACCGGCGTGAACACTTCTATGACCACCATGGAGCGAGGGCGTTCTCTGCAGTGCTGCACCAAGAAATCGCACAGATTTGAAACTCAGGCAAGGAACAATAATCCAAAGTCTCCAGCAAAAGGAAAATATGCTCCCAACTGGGTGACAGGTGTGCATCAATATGCAGGTAATGTTAATAACCAGACCCAACCTCTCTGTTTCGTTGGCTGCTGAAGATCTGTACTCCCTTAAGGACAGCCATGGGGCATGCAAAGAGAATGGCCGCTGGGCAAGTTTTGTGTTGGAACAGAACCCCAACGCACGGACGAGCACGCAGGAAGAGCCCTGTCCAAAGGCCTGTCCGGTCCAAGTTGCTGCCTTCTGCTTCTGCTGCTCCTCAGCAGCGAGTTCACAGAAGCCCCAGCCCCAGTGTAGCCATGATGGAGCTCAAAGGAGGGCCAGGGGAGGGCCTCCCTCTGCATACCACTGAATTAGCTTGGGAATCTCCCAAGAGAGTCTCCATCCATGCACACAGAGCCCTTACGTGTGATGCACAGAGACCATGAAGAAGAACCTCGGGGTGCCTGCGCAGAGCAATACGGATGAATAATCCTTAGTGGATTGATCTGCAGGAATTTGGAAAGCCAGGACACTCAGGTTCCTTGAAATTCTTCAAAGTGTACTCCAAAGCGCACTGTACTTGGCTCCCATTCTTCTTCCAGCTTGTTTTGGGCATGGTTCAAATGGGAAAAAGTTGCTCATTAACTGCACATTTTGGAAGTCTGCACATTCTGGGAATGCTGCACATGTCTCAGGTGCACAGTTTGGTAATGCAAATGCAATCGAAGGAATTTCTGATACTGTTTGAGGAATATTCGGGGTTGTGAATGGTGCGTTCTTGAGTGATGTGCAAAGAGAAATGAAGCGCTCATGATTTTTTATATATTCTACATAAAGTTTTCTAATTCCCTTTTAAAGTCATCTAAGCTAGTGGTCAGCACCATACCTTGCATCAGGGAGCCTCACAATTAATGATTCACTGGGCTGGGAGTAATTAATTGATGGAACTCTATTTTTACTTCCATTTTTATTCTATTTTATTGTTGTTTTTGTGAACTGTCCCAAGACATTTGTGATGGGGTGGCATACAAAAGTCTAAATTAATTAATTAATTAATTAATTTCGCCTCTGCTTAATGCCACTGGACAAAGCTGGGTTCTAGGAACTGGAGAGATGGAGACAAACTTCTCTTTGATCCCTTTCTCTACCAGTAATTGCACAAGCCTCTACTGCAGCATCTTCTCCAACCTGGTGCCCTCCAGAGGCATTAGATTACAACTCGCAGCATTCCGAGCCAGTTTTAGCTCATGCACTCAGAGGGACCCGGCTTGGAAAGACTGCTCAGTCCCAATGTTCCCAACAAAAGCCAAATGCTTTGCAAGGAAATATGCAGCGTGAGAAAAGGGAAAGGGAACCAGAGTTCTATAAACTAGTCCTCGTATAATCTGGAGTAGCGAGAGAAGAGTCTTTTGGACAGCCCTCCCACCATCCCAGCAACTGGAGGGGCAGTCTATGTGATCGTTGGGGAGGTGGGTACTGAGGTGCATCCAGTGTGAGAGCAGGCCTACGGAATTAACTGCCTTACATTAAGGCCAGGCTTTGATCCAATTCATGGGGTAGAACCCATGCTCTCTGTTCTTTACAAAAGCTGCCCAGCAGGTCCAAGCATTCCTACTGCACTGGCCAGGCCCAGCTTTGCCCCACTTCCCCACTGCTAATGCTTTGCACATTCTTTGCACACACATGACGGGAAATGATGGAAGCTGCAGGAAGACACATATGGCGGACATCACCAGGTTGGATACAGCTATCGTACAGGACAGGGAATCCCATAAATGCTCAGAAGGCCGGGTGCCTAGAGAAAACTCCTGCGGGGTCGAAGCCAGTAAGAGAGAGCAATTGGACAGCACGGAGAGGGATAGTTCCGATGCCCACGTCCGAGGTCAGAGACGATGCTCTTTCCCTGGAGCCGGGCACCAAGCACCTCCCTTCCCTTTCGCACCTGGCACAGACAGAACCACTCTGGCGTCTCTCCAAAGGTCAGAAAAGTGAGATCAGAGAAATGGCATTCGAGTGGGCAGGCTGCACTGGGCTTCCGCTGACCCGCCCCCGGCCTCTCCAAGATGCTCCAGGAAGCGAGACAAGGAAGGGGCCCATCTGCTGAAAACGCAGGCTGGGCGGCAGAGGAGCCAAGATGGCCCCCGGCGCTCCTCCTGTCTCGCACTGGATGGCTGGAAGTCTGCCAGTCTGAGGACGTGCAGCAGCATCGCAGGATTGTGCCCTGAGCCTGTAATGTGGACATGCCCTGAATAATTGTGCTGCTCAGTTCTGTAGAGGGTTAGACAGATAGACAGACAGACCTACCTTGCAAAAAAATTCACACAAGTCAGGAGGAGGATGATTGTTTTCCAGTAAAGGAGCCAGTGCCTAAAATAGCGGAGAAAAGGTGTACAAGCTGGTACTGGCCTTCATCAAGATTAAAAAGACACAAGTTCATCCACCAGTAATGATACAGTTCTCAATATCTATCTATCTATCTATCTATCTATCTATCTATCTATCTATCTATCTATCAACACCAATAAATACCGGTGAATATTCTATTCATGTCTGCATATTACATTAATATGCAGGACAACTCAGGATATTCAGGTGGCGGGACAACTCGAAGCTCTCTTGGATGAAATGGATTATCTGGACCCATTTCAGTCCGGCTTCAGACCTGGGTACGGTACTGAATCTGCCTTGGTCGCCCTGTACGATGACCTGTGCAGCGAGAAGGACAGGAGGAGTGTTCCCTGTTGGTCCTCCTGGACCTCTCAGAGGCTTTCGATACCATCGACCATGGTATCCTTCTGGATAGGCTAGCGGGATTGGGGGTCAGAGGCACTGCTTTGCGGTGGTTCCACTCCTACCTCAATAACTGATTCCAGAAGGTGGTGCTGGGGGACTATGGCTCTGCGCCATGGCAGCTATGCCATGGCGTACCGCAGGGGTCCATTTTGTCCCCGTTGCTGTTTAACATCTACATGAAACCGCTGGGAGAGGTCATCAGGAGGTGTGGGCTGCGGAATCATCAGTACGCTGATGATACCCAGCTCTACCTCTCGTTTTCCACCAATCCAGGTGAGGCAGTGGCTGTACTGAACCGGTGCCTGGCCGAGGTAATGGACTGGATGAGGGCCAATAAACTGAAGCTCAATCCAGACAAGATGGAGGTCCTGTTGGTTGGCGGATCGGGCTTCGGAGAGGGTGAATTGAACCTAGTCCTGAATGGGGTTGCACTCCCTCTTAGGGCCAAGGTCCGCAGCTTGGGAGTGCTCCTCGACCCAGAGCTTTCATTGGAAGCTCAGGTGACAGCAGTGGCGAGGAGCGCTTTCCTTCAGCTTCGGCTGATCCATCAGCTGTGCCCCTACCTGGAGAACGACTGCCTGGCGACAGTGACACACGCTTTGGTGACTTCCCACCTTGACTTCTGTAACACGCTCTACGTGGGGCTACCCTTGAAGACGGTCTGGATACTTCAATTGGTTCAAAATAATGCTGCCAGGTTGCTGACGGGGACTGGGCGTTATGTTCACATGACTCCAGTCCTCTGGCAGCTTCACTAGCTTCCCATTGAAGTCCGGGCCCAATTCAAGGTGTTGGTGATGACCTATAAAGCCCTAAACGGCTTGGGTCCTGGCTACCTGAAGGAGAACTTACGTCCATATACGCCAGCCCGCCCCCTGAGATCTGCGGGAGAGGCCCTTCTCCGGGAACCCTCCGTGAAGGAAATTAGGAGGGTAGGTACTCGGAGGAGGGCTTTCTCAGCGGTGGCGCCCAATCTATGGAATGCGCTCCCCAGAGAGGTCCGCCTGGCGCCATCGTTGTTTGTTTTTCGGCACCAGGCGAAGACCTTTTTATTCAAACGTCATTTTAATTGCTAATATTATTTGCTTAATTCTTCGGCCAGGGCGACTTATTTTATAACGCTAATGTGTTTTATATTTTTAGTGTTTTATATTTTAACTGATGTTGTAAGCCGCCCCGAGGCTTCGGCGAATGGGGCGGCATAGAAATTTTTAAATAAATGAATGAATGAATGAATCGCATAAAATTAAGCTTTGTGTACCAAATTAATAATCATAAACAAGTTATGATTAAGTGTTATCTTTCTTTCCTCATCTATACCAGGATAATGCATTATAATTGGCATTACTGCATAGGCCCATAATTTATTGAGCCATTTATCCATTGTCAGTATTGACATTTGCTTAACAAAAGGGAGGGCTTTCGCCCACAAAATCTTTTACTCTGTTTACATCAACACCAGTCCAGCATTATGTACTTGTGAAAACTGGCCCTTGAGCGCACTCTGGCACAAATGCCGAGGTGCCCAATGAAGCAAAGAACCTGTATGTCAAATTTTGCTGCCAGCCCCAGCTCGCAGACAAGCTCCACGCCAGGCCTGGTCGGGGCCCAGTTCTGGGATGGAGAGACAAAGACCCGAGCGAGGGTGCGCAACCTGTTCGGCCCAAGGGCAGCGTGCTCTCTGGGGCCACTCCCCACAGTGGGACAAGGCATCAAAACCGGCACCAGAGTCTAGCACAGAGCTCCTACAGCCAGGAAGTTCACCTCCAGAGAGGCGCGGCAGTCTTTCAGCACGGGGGGGAAAAGCCCGCAAACCAAGATTGGCAAGTGAGGCGGTAGGGGCAAGGGAAGCTGTCTGACCATCTGCAAAAACCAGGAGGGCTGGATTTCACCGTGGACTTAAGGTTCTGCCCTCCTGGGCAGAAGATGCACACTGGGCCAGGTTCAGGAGCAGGTGTGAGTAGGACACACACGGAAGACCACTGGGACTGCGAGGAGCTAGTGCCGTGCCACATTTCCTCCACCCCATGCTCAGTACCAGGAAAGAGCTGACCTCTTGGTCTCGGAGGCACAAGCACAACCCGAGGGATCAGGGAATATAACAAGGGTCAGATATTCCTATCAGCTCCTTGCCTTTGCACAGGCATCAACCATCTGCACTTGTACAAGCACCGGGTCATCTATCCCTCCCCACTCCCATCCCACAATTAACCCCAGAATATACCCTTGGGAGTTGAGGGAATGATTGCCCAACACTGGAAAAGGAAGAACCACCCACCGATGAACTGATCCTAAAAAAGATCTTGGACTGTGCAGAAATGGACAGACTGACTTTGTCATTGAAGGAGAAAGAAGACACTGATTTCTATAAACTTGGAACTCTAGGGACTTCGTATAGATTCAAATATGTTTTTAAGTTATCATTAACATAAAAAATGTGGGGACTGACCCAGCAGGTCTGATGTTTCTGATGATTGATGTTGTTTTTAGTTTTTCTTTGTTTTAGGGTTATTTTGAATACAACTTATTATAAAAAAAGGAAGTTGAGGGAATGCCAGTGTGGAAGAAGAACCTCAGCTCAGGCTGGATGACAGAGGAGGCGCTGCCTGAACTGGCTGGCAGAGTCTGCCTGCAATCGTGGGGGTTCCTGAGAGCAGAAGGGGCAGGCAGCAAACCTATTCCTCCGCACGCAGCAAAGGAGCCAGCCGGTCGCACAGGCCTGCAGCAACTCAGGCGCCCTTCTAAGGCGAGAACTTCCTCCACACCCAAGGGGAGCGGCCAGCCGAGCCGATCAAGTGCCGCCATCTGGGAGGGCTTGTCCGGGCAGTGCCAAGGGGACTGCCCGCTTCAGCGGCCACGCTTCCTCGCAGCAAGGCAGCACGAGCAGATCAGCTTGCCGCATCCTCATACTCAGAGGAAGCCCCTACATTAAAAGGGCAACCCCGCTGACCGAGCAGAGCCGCCCTCTCGGGCCATGGGCCATCGGCCCCCGCCATCCTTCTGGTGCTGTCAGGAAGGAAGTTCGGCCCAGGCCCATGCACCATGATGCAGCTCGAGAGACGCTTCCAGGGAAGGTCTGAAAGGGACACGGCAAGGTTCTCTCCCAGCCACTCTTTGCTCCGACTGAGGAGGTAGGCAGGAGACCAGCGTTTATAGGTGCCATGGACATTTTTCATGCTAATACTGAAACTCAGAAGATGCTCTTGTCGTGCACAATTTTATCTGCTGGGTTTGCCGAGGATACCAGAGCACAGGTGGCGAGGGAGAAATGTTAGGAATATGTCTGAGTCCTGCACTCTGCCTTGAGACCTAGATTCCCTCCTCCAGTGCCTGAAAAGGCCTAAATGCAATTTACAAAATTAAACAAGCACCTTCTAACAGTCAGATAACAGGCCTACGCAGTATGATATTAGATAAGATGGTTCTCTGTAAGAAGCAACCCAGTTGCAAACAGCAAGCACATCTTTAATCTTTTGCGCTGCCAATGCAAAAATCTTTTGGAATCACATGCTTGTCCCTATCAGCACAAAGATAACGCATCTCACATGTTACATGAGATAGGCCAAATAAGAATCATTGCTCAGTGAGCATGAAGGCCAGGTGGCTGTAAACTGGAGGGGCATGCTCTTTTCTTTGCTTTTTCACTTTCACAAATTATTACCAGATATATGCAGGCAAGTAAAAATGTTTGTGGACTGGTAACTTGGTGAGACTGCCCGGAGCCCCTTGCTGCAAGCAAAAGCAAAACCCTTTCCAGGTTTTCTCTGTGGGAGCACCTGAATTCTCCTGCCTTTCTAGGATATTATTCTTTTCAAAACAAGCCTCTTGCCTTTCAGTGGTTGGCTGACTTTTTTGCTAGGCAACCCAATGCAGTTACAGGCCGTAAATGTATTAGAGGCTATAGCTGCTTTGGCGTGTGTAGTAAAATCATGCCACTGCTTCCTTCTGCTGCAAATTGCAAAGTGTTGCTAGAACAAAAGATTCTCAGTATACAGGAGAACCCTGGGGCTTTTCTATCTTAGAGCACCAGGATTCCTGGTATTACCTACAAAGCAGAACTCTTAAGCGAAGCAGCTGGGACAGTTTGTATTGAAGGCGACCAGGGCTGGTGCTATTGTTTCACAGATCGCTCAGTTCAGAAACCGATCCGTCAAGGTGCTCCTCCAGAATCGGAATGGGGAAACTTCTGGGTGGAAAGCTGTGCGTTATGCACGGAGCTATGGCCTCTCCATGCAGGAAACACTCAAGGTCTTCTCCATAAAGGGGTGTGCAGCTTTCTGGCTTTGAGAGCCACACCTGGGGAGGGGCGCTCAGGGCCACACCTGCACGCTCACAAGCTCGGAGAAGGGAGGAAGGCTTGATTTCGCTCCCTTTCAGCAGCCCTGCAGAGCTCCAGGGAGGCTGAAGCCCCGCCCAGCAACGCCATGGGAATCCCTGCTTCTACACAGGCCTGCAGGGAAACTCAGCAGCGGGAGGTGCTCATAAGGCATCCCGGGGAGCATGGGGCTCCCAGCCTCACACCCCCCACTTTAAAATACCTTGCTGGCAAAGTTTATCCGGCAGCAGCTCCATTT